CCATAAAATGCGTCACATAGCGTCACACACTGCATGTGGCGGCATATTTTAATGAGCCATTTTAAGAGGGTGTGGCTGACTCTTAACTTTTATAAAGAATATCTCTTTGGATTTGAGACTTTAGTCTTTGCAACTTTACAGATCTTATTTATGCACCAAGAGCTTGTAACACTCCAAAGAGAAAGGAAAACTTGAAATCGCATCATATGACCCCTTTAAAAGTGCATATTTGTATCTCAAAGTGCATATTATTGCATATTAAAATTACATATTAGTACCTTAAAATGACACATTAATACAAAAGTGTAAATATTAGTACCTTAAAAGTACATCTTAAAAGTGCATATTAGTACCCTAAAGTACATCAGTGTCTTAAACGTACATACTTGTATCTTAAAGTGCATATTATCGCATTAAAATTTAATTTTAGTACCTTAAAATTACATATTAGTACCCTAAAGTGTACATATTAGTACCTTTTGAAAGGTCTTAGTCAATAGCACACATAATTCAATAAGTGCTGCATCTAAAATTTTGAGTGTTGTGTTTTTCTGTGCGTATATGTGACTGCATACAGTTGCTGAAAGAAAAATATAAATATACATACTGTACATACTGTACAGTGACTTCAGATGAAGGCTGAATTCACCCCAGACGCATCTGCTTCACACTTTAATCTTTCATTTTCATGATGCTGGGAATTGTAGGGAATACACACCGGGTGTTTTTAACACTCACCTCAGAATCACACCAGGTGCTACGAAACTATGATTTAACACCGTTCATTGAACACACTGATAAAATCACTGTGCGACTGCTTCAAAACTTCTCATTTATTAAAAACAGACATTTGAGATCATTAGCAGTTAAAGTGATGAAAGTCCAGTTCTGAAAGTGACTAAACACAAAAGGAAATTCGTGAAACAGATGTTTCCTTACAGCCACAGTTTAAGACAGGCAAAATGCAATAAAGATGAAACCAAAATCCTTCTTTTTCAACAACATAAATCTGAATAATAATAATAATAATAATAATGTGTTATACGTGGTTTATATCACCTGCAAGTTGAAAAGTTTATATCTGATCGCTCATAAAAATTATTTTATAAAACTAATTACATTTCACCTCAGCAATCTGTATAATGGGGAGTTTGTTCACTCAAAATAACACAATGCATGAACAATAGTAATTTACCACAGTAACAGTGGTTCTTGACTTAATAAACAGCGCTAATATATTATTATTATTATTATTATTATTATTATTGTTGTTGCTGTTGTTGATTCATAGGCACATTGACTTGACAATTACTATATTTCAAAATACATTCTTTCCCTCTTCGTCATCATCTTCACATATAAAAGGCCATGTACAGTTGAGTTGGACCCAAACAAAATATAAAAAATAAAGCCTCCTCCTCGAGTTAAAGTGCTTTTAGTATTGTTAACAAACATGTTTATTCCAGTGACAAAAGATCAACTATGGGGAAAAAAACTTGATCTTTACCCAAAATAGTTCTAAACTGGCACTGTTAGACACAAAGATAGATGCAAATCACATCCAACGCAGTCTCTCAATAAGACACGCACAGGTTATTCACTCTAAATGTTGTACCTTTGCTCTTTCAGTAACTACAGTACAGTGGTTTAAATGTTATGATGAATCCTCCAGTCCATTGTAATCCATAATCCTTCTGCAAAAAATAGATCGATATCCATGTGTTTATAAAATCAGGTATTGTCCATCAGAGTTTACAGAATAGTTGTTCTTCTCAAAGTGTCAAATCTGTGGCACTGCTTTTCTTGGCCACAAGGTGGTGAACTAGTCTTTCCCGGTCTTTGCTGTTTTGTCATGTGTAAAGCAGCAGATCTATGTTGAATCATCATTTGATTCCACATGGACTAATAGTTTAGTAGTTTACAGTATTTCTCATTATGGATTCCAGCTATGTCCAGAATGGGAACACTAGCATACTAGCATTCATATGTAGCATACTAATTTGAAACATGTGAAACGA